GTCTAGTAGACTAGTCCCTAATCACCTTAAAAAGAAATCCAAATCAATTCAGTTTAAAAATAATTATTGCATTTTTAAATGTGCACGAACACTTTCGCGGGTCACCGTAAATCCGTATACAGCGTACCCGCCGTTTTCCATTTCCATTCGGCATATTTATAATTGGCGTGTGTTCGATGCACGTCCGGGGACTTAATGCCCCGGCAGACCGGTAGCGAAGGTCCAACGGCCGGTCGGTCGGTTCGCGGCGATCATTACGCTCCGGCAAATTGAATGAGCCCGGCCCGAGATGTTAGTTTTATCACGTAATCATCCCGCCGGAAGTGATCGATGCGTTTTATCGTCGTACGAATATTCGCGCGTTTCACCGCCGTTTCCGAGTGAAAACCGCCGACGATGAATATTCATAAAACGCGCCGGTTCCCGTCCCGACGGATAAAAACTCGCTTAACGAACTGTCCCGCGGAGACAACCGTGCCGAATCCGGCCAATTTCACCGGCGGCGGTTCCTGCGCCGAGGATGCGCGGCGGCCGTTTATCTCATTTTTTCGAAAGGGGACGAGACGGGAATCGAGCCACCGTCGGAAAAATCGCGCGGCGAACGGCGAATCGCATCGAAATCGCTACCGATATCACTGAATAATTACAATTCGTGGATTTTGCTCGCCGGCAAGAACGTTCCACCGATTTCTAATATTAACGCCAATTAACGGGGATCGGCTGTTTTCCCTCCGATCCGGGGAACCGAAGAAAAACGGCGTGATTGGCTCCGGCAACTTTCTACAAATATACCTCGCCTATGGATACATCTAATCTGCCAAAGAAATTGGCTGCCGATTATTTGTTCTAGCGCCGTTACCAGGCTACTGGTATTTCTGCGTGAACAAAACTGTTTACAACGATTGTGGAAGTCGCCAGTGATATAGTAATTTCGTGGAAACCTATATTATGTTATATTATAATATTATCGTATTGTGTATTGCCTTGTAGTGTGTTGTATTGTAATTATATTCTGTTATAGTGTACTGTATTATATTTTATTATATTGCATTCTATGTTGTATTGTATTATATTACAATATATTCCATTTTATTTTATACTATTCTATTGTATTCTATTTTGTATTGTATTGTATTATATTATATTACATTTTATTCTATTCTACTGTATTCTATATTGCATCGCATTGCATTTTACTATATTCTATTATATTGGATTGCATTGTACTATATTGCACTTTATTNTACTGTATTGTATTGTATTCTATTATATTGTATTATATTGTTTTCTATATTGTATTTTATTGTAACATATTATGTTCTATTATATGGTATTGTATTGTGTTATAATCTATTATTTTGTATTCCATACTGTATTGTATTGTATTCTATTATATTGTATTATATTGTTTTCTATATTGTATTTTATTGTAACATATTATGTTCTATTATATGGTATTGTATTGTGTTATAATCTATTATTTTGTATTCCATACTGTATTGTATTGTATTCTATTATATTGTATTATATTGTTTTCTATATTGTATTTTATTGTAACATATTATGTTCTATTATATGGTATTGTATTGTGTTATAATCTATTATTTTGTATTCCATACTGTATTGTATTGTATTCTATTATATTGTATTATATTGTTTTCTATATTGTATTTTATTGTAACATATTATGTTCTATTATATGGTATTGTATTGTGTTATAATCTATTATTTTGTATTCCATACTGTATTGTATTGTATTCTATTATATTGTATTATATTGTTTTCTATATTGTATTTTATTGTAACATATTATGTTCTATTATATGGTATTGTATTGTGTTATAATCTATTATTTTGTATTCCATACTGTATTGTATTGTATTCTATTATATTGTATTATATTGTTTTCTATATTGTATTTTATTGTAACATATTATGTTCTATTATATGGTATTGTATTGTGTTATAATCTATTATTTTGTATTCCATACTGTATTGTATTGTATTCTATTATATTGTATTATATTGTTTTCTATATTGTATTTTATTGTAACATATTATGTTCTATTATATGGTATTGTATTGTGTTATAATCTATTATTTTGTATTCCATACTGTATTGTATTGTATTCTATTATATTGTATTATATTGTTTTCTATATTGTATTTTATTGTAACATATTATGTTCTATTATATGGTATTGTATTGTGTTATAATCTATTATTTTGTATTCCATACTGTATTGTATTGTATTCTATTATATTGTATTATATTGTTTTCTATATTGTATTTTATTGTAACATATTATGTTCTATTATATGGTATTGTATTGTGTTATAATCTATTATTTTGTATTCCATACTGTATTGTATTGTATTCTATTATATTGTATTATATTGTTTTCTATATTGTATTTTATTGTAACATATTATGTTCTATTATATGGTATTGTATTGTGTTATAATCTATTATTTTGTATTCCATACTGTATTGTATTGTATTCTATTATATTGTATTATATTGTTTTCTATATTGTATTTTATTGTAACATATTATGTTCTATTATATGGTATTGTATTGTGTTATAATCTATTATTTTGTATTCCAAGATGTGTATAAGAGACAGATACAATACAGTACAGCATACAATATAATATGCATAGAATACAATATAATATAATATAATACAATACCTGTCTCTTATACACATCTAGATGTGTATAAGAGACAGATACAATACAGTACAGCATACAATATAATATGCATAGAATACAATATAATATAATATAATACAATACCTGTCTCTTATACACATCTAGATGTGTATAAGAGACAGATACAATACAGTACAGCATACAATATAATATGCATAGAATACAATATAATATAATATAATACAATACCTGTCTCTTATACACATCTAGATGTGTATAAGAGACAGATACAATACAGTACAGCATACAATATAATATGCATAGAATACAATATAATATAATATAATACAATACCTGTCTCTTATACACATCTAGATGTGTATAAGAGACAGATACAATACAGTACAGCATACAATATAATATGCATAGAATACAATATAATATAATATAATACAATACCTGTCTCTTATACACATCTAGATGTGTATAAGAGACAGATACAATACAGTACAGCATACAATATAATATGCATAGAATACAATATAATATAATATAATACAATACCTGTCTCTTATACACATCTAGATGTGTATAAGAGACAGATTGTATTGTATTCTATTATATTTTGTATTATATTGTTTTCTATATTGTATTTTATTGTAACATATTATGTTCTATTATATGGTATTGTATTGTGTTATAATCTATTATTTTGTATTCTATATTTCATTGTATTATATTCTATTATATTGTATTCTGTATTGTATGGCATTGTATTGTATTATGTCCTATTACACGGTATTATTTTCCATTATATCCTATCATTATAAACGCTGAAAACTCGTCAACTTCAAACACACGCATAACTTTTAATCAAATGAATTTAGTACTCATTCTAATTACATTCCTAGATTCCTGACTTCGATTTTCAAACGTTTCTCTACAAAATCTATTCGATCGTCCACTGGAAAGTCAAAAAACTTGAAACCCCCAAGGTAAAGTCTACTCATAACAAAAATCGCTAGAAATTCCGGAGGAACAGAAACGAGGCACACGTCGTCCAAAGATCCGACGCATTTTCGGACGAGCTTTCCAACGTTTCGGGCAACTCGGAGCGCGGCGCGGTGCACAGTGGATTTCTTGTACAATGTATTCGGTCGTTTTATCGGAACGATTACGACGGCAAGGATATCGGGCATAAACCGCGGCGTTACGGGAACGTACTGCCGCGATCGTAGAAGTTCCCCGATACTTTCGGTAGTCCTTGTTTATCGATCATTTACGGGACAATTTCGGTTCCTCGAATTCGTCGTTATCGAACGTTCCGTTTAGCCGCCCCCCACCCCGCACCCTGCCCCGGATGCCGCCCGCCGATAATCCGCCCGACGATCCCCGATATGAAACGATACGACTTCGTATAAAGATTACGGGCGCCGGTGCACGGCCCGGCCGAAAGTGTCGATGTCGCATTATGCAAATTGCGGGCGACGCGTGCTATATCTCGCGGAAGTCGGCTGGGCCACCGTGTCCGTTCCTCCGACGTACGAAAAGTTGCCGTGAAATCGGCGCGGGGCCGTAACGGGGCCTCGGCCCTCCGTCGGCTCATAATCGGGCGCCGGCCGACAGCGATCCAACGTGGTGACGCGGAGAAATCAAGCGCAAAGACCTGCGGAACGAGGATACATTTATCTCCTTTTTTTTGGCATCGATAAAACATTTTCTTCGGTGCGGACAGCATTTTCTCGGACGCGTGTATCCTTCGAGGTTGCTGAAAAAAAATCGCAACCCTGTGCCTTCGACAGTTTCGGAGATATTAATTCCAATGTGAAAACTTTCAAAATTGGACAAATGATGACTTAAATCCCCTCCCGGAATCGTGTATGGATTACGAGATACTCTGACGTCATCGACGGCGGTGCGGCGCGTCCACCGGGTGAACATTGTAATTCCGAACTACGGCCGCGACGAGTAGGCGACCACGTCTGACCGTAGCGCGGAATCGTAATGTTCGCCGGGTAGACGCTGCGTGCCGCTGAACGGGACCACCGCGAGTTCCCCCAGATGTCGCGCGACGTCCGGCGGTGACGTCACGGCCGAGCGCGGTCGAGCGGAGTGGGGGAGGCGGTAGTGGGGGCAGAGTGCGGCGCGGTCGACCGACTCGCCAGTTGCGGGCCGCGAGCGACGCTGCCGCCCTCTGGCCGCGCTCTGCCGGACGTCACGTGACATCCAAGAGAGTTTCTGGCGACACGCGGGCCGCCGCGAGACGGATCGAACGGAGCGTCGAAAGAAAAAATGAAAAAAAGATGACGGTATTCGAATCGGCAGAAATAGAAGCGATGACTCACCATGAAAACCATGAACCTTGATTGCAGGTTGGCGCTCTCGAAGTAAGTCAGCGTTTCCAGCCACCGTGCCTCGCCTGTGTGTACGCTGTTCACTCCCTTTCTCCGTGTCGATCCTTTTCTTTTCCTGGAGTATCGATTCACTTCACAGCCGAGAAACCGATCGGTCAGTTCACAACGATAATCACGAACTACGATCGCCGCGACTAGTCCGTTACCGCGGCGGTAAAATCACGTGCGCGCCCGGGACACTTTTCCTTTCGGCGTGTGCCGCGTGCGGCCGTTTTCCTGAACGCTGTGCGCGACCGCGAGGCACACCGACGACGATCGAAGGAAAATCGGGCGACCGTCGATCCGATGGAACCGTCGATCCGATGGAACCGTCGATCCGACGAGACGATTGGGAGGAGACGATAAGAAGGGAACAACCGTCGGTCGGTGATCAAATCGAGGGAACGGTTCTCGACGGGCGAACGAGAAACAAAAACAAAAATCCACCGGGTGCGTGTGTCGACTATTTAAATGGTACTATCTAAACTTATCAATTGGCTATCGGTAAGGTAGCAACAGATACAGATACTGGCTCTCTACTGGCATCTGATTGGCATACTGGCATGAATACTGGCCCGTTCGGCGTACGTCACCTGCAACATACAAACGTGCGGATCTGCATTAGAAATTAGCCGGTGCGGTCCCGGGAAACTTAACTAGTACTTAACGGAACACGATGCCGCTTGTTTCCAAAAACCTGGCCGAAATGCTGTTCTCGATGCATACGGTCACGTGTCTTGTAGATTGACCTTTTATATTATATATTATATATTGTATATTGTACATTGTACATTGTACATTGTACATTGTATATTGTATATATTGTATATATTGTATATATTGTATATTGTATATATTGTATATTGTATATATTGTATATTTTTTATATTATATATTGTATACATTTAATATTGTATATTTTTTATATTATATATTGTATGTATTGAATATTGTATATGTATATTGTACATTATACATTGTATATTGAATATTGTACATTGTACATTGTATATTGTATATTGTATATTGTACATTTTACATTGTATATTGTATATTGTACATTTTACATTGTATATTGTATATTATACATTTCACATTGTATATTGTATATATTGTATATTATATATTGTATATTGTACATTGTACATTATATATTGTATATTGTGTATTATGTATTGTATATTGTACATTATATATTATTATATATATATATATAACATTTAAATAGATGTTTATTCCACATCTTGGGTTCAACAAATATCAATGAAGCAAGTCTTGTTTCAAATGTCCCACCCTGTATAGAGTCAGCAACTGTGCGCCAAAAATTACAACTGAAAACGATCGCTCGCCGCCGGGACAACCATAATATTCGACCCGTTATCGCACGGCGACGATAGAAATCGCAATTAACGCAGGAAACGGTTTTGTTTCACCGGGGTTCCGCGATTACCGGTAAAAGCATCGGTTCACGTGAACATCCGCCGCCTAATTGGCTCGATTCGAAAGCGCAAGAATTTGCACGACGAGATCGCGGAATTCGGCGGTCGTTCTCGACCCGGAAGATCGGTCGATCGATAGGCGAGAAAAATATACCGGGTGGGACATGATAATCATCAAATAGGATCGTTTGATTGGGCCGTGGTCGAGGGCCGGGCCGGATTGGGTCGGGTTGGGCCTTATAGGATTAGGCCTTGCTGGATCGGGCTGGGTCTGGTCGGACCGAACTTTGTTGGATTGGGCCGGGTCGGGCCGGATCGGGCCTTGTCCGATTGGGCCTGGTTGGGCCGGATCGGGCCATGTCGGATTGGTACGGGTCGGGCCGGAATGGGCCTTGTCGGATTGGATTGAATCTGGTTGGATTCGACCTTGTTGGATTGGGTCAGATCAGGCCTCGTCCGATTGGATCAAGTTGGGCTGGATCGGGCCTTGTCGGATTGGAACAGGTCGGGACGGAACGGGTTTTGTCGAATTGGGACAGGTCGGGCCCGATCGGGCCTCATCGAATTGGGCCGGCTTCAGCTGGGTCGGGCCTTGTTGGATCGGGTTGGGCCTTGTCGGATTAGGCAGAATCAGGCCGAGTTGGGCCTTGTCAGATTGGACTGGGTTTGGCCGGATCGGGCCTCGTCGGATTGGGACGGGTAGGGCCGGGCCTGCGACGCGCCCGGTTATTTAAATCATTCGATCCGACACGCCATAATCGACTCGCGTTAATAGCCCTGGAAATTGGTGCCGGTCATCGAGATCCACAATTTTCCAGCCACCGCACAGTAGGTGTGCGCCTAGCCAATCAGCTGTCTCGTCCATTAATTAACGTTCCTTCGCGGCCGTTGAGCGAGATCGTTATCGATCCAAGGAAAATCGCGTTATTCGATCTATTCGCGCCACCTTATCATTAGTACACCGTGTAATTTGCGGGAACGCTTTCCCAGGTTCGCCACGGTGGATCGGAACTCTCTTTTCGGTGGCCAAAATTATTTTCAACGTTGTTCAAATCCTCAAAGTTGCAATACTAATGCCATCTCAACGTCGGTTGCAACGTCGTGAACACAGAAATATATTTTAACGTTCAAAAAGTCGAGCTTACATCGATCGTTTACGACAACAAAATTTTCTCAGCCTCGAATTGCTTATTTTTGCAATTTTCCTGCGAAGGAAAGAGAGCTTTAGGAAAAGGATTTTTTTTTAATGTGTTAGAGAAATGGACTTTTGGCCGGGAGGCTCGATTTCCAGACCGCCGTGCATCGCGATGCTTTAATTACGAGTCGTTGAGAACGATCTTATCGGACGGTTAAATCGTCCGGGCATTAAGACCACCGGCTTGTCGGGTGCACAATGTTTCCGAAGTTGAGAACGATTGCTAATTGAAGGGAACGGGCGCACAAGTGAATGAGATACTCGATTTTTAAATTAGCCACTACGGATTATCGCGATGGGCTCGTAATCTTGCAGCGCCGCCAACTGATTAGCTTGTACACTCTCGGCCACAAGTATCCGGACGCCAATTGGTTTAATGAGGGTGCTGTTTACATATTTATTTCGTCGGCCGCCTCCGAATCGAGCGCGCAAACATAATTGTTCGGATAGCAGAACAATTAGATGTATTAAATCACGTTTTTATTGACATATACTGTAATTGTTGCGAGTGCGTTACTTCAGATTGATATATTTTCATGCGAAACGTGCTTGGATAATAGCATTTGGAGGTTCTATTGCATATTGGGTGTCCAAAAAATCCTGCTTAAAAAATGTGGATCTTTATATAAAATAGAAACTGTCTAACTTATAAAAATTCGGAATTAGACGAATATATATTTTGCATTTTAGATTATTAACAATTTTTATAAATTGGACAAATCCACGTTAAAACTGAAATACATAGGCAGATTTCTCAGGTGATTTGAAACAACTTTTTCCTTTGCCAAAATGTTCTACGAGGCTTCGTTAACGAGTTATCAACGAAAAACACTAGCCAATCAGTCGGACAGCGAGTACGGCTGACGCTCCGCCCTCGCGAGCGATCGCGACGCCGCATTGGCCACGAGGGCGGGGCGTCGGGCGTGCTAGCTCTTTGATTGGTCCACGCTATTCGTTAATAACTCGTAAACGAAGCCTCGCAGAACATTTTCGCAAAGGAAAAAGTTACTTCAAATCGTCAGAGGAATCGCTCTGTGTATTTAAATTTTAATGTAGCCTTTCGACGATTCTCCAGCTTATAAAAATTGTTAATAATTCACAGAATGTTCGCGCGAGCCAAATAGATTAATAGATCGCAGATTCTTGTCTTAAAATAATTTTAGATTCTAAATTAAAATTCGCGGTTTGTTAACATTCCGGGTCTTTCCAGAAAATGTCACGGATCGTTTAGGACGCAGGCCATTTCCTTTCGGCGGTCGTTGTCTCGAGGAAACGATCTACGTTAACGGTGAATTCTAGATCCGGCACGCATAATACGGTACAAACAATTCGTACACAGCGTGTGCGAAAACCGCATTGGTATTCGCACTTTCGTTGGGGCACTTTCACGGCGGGCCGGTAACGGTAGCCCTTGCGCTCCTGCGACCGTAATGCAATTCGTATGCACTCGCATAACGCGAGATCGAGGCGACGAGGATCGAACGCTAAGTCGAGATGATCGTGCAGCGTGTCGCCTAACAGATCGTCCTACCACGACTGCGAAAAAACGTCGCAATATGCGTCTAAGAGAAGGTAGAATATTGCAGTCATGTAGTCCCACCGCCCCCCCCCCCCACTCCACGCAGTCAAGAATCGAATATGCAATTCGCAGTGCTTTTACAATGACAATTGCAAGAATTGAAAAATAAAAATTCTTAAACTCCGTTTCATGCAGTCGACGATAATTGAAAATTTACATTTCTATCGAATATCCATTATAATTTAAATTTTTATGAAAAATCTGCTGAAAATTATTATTCGCTTTTCTATTAAGAATCCATTATAACGTAAATTTTTATGAAAAATCTGCTTAAAATTATTTGCATTACTATTAACAGTCCATTATAATGCAAATTTATGATGAAAATAATTCAAAATAATTGATTGTAAACGATGAATTCGAACAAACTATTCAAGTAAAATATTAATTCGACTAATTATGTGAGACAAATATTTGTTCGAAACAATTCGAAAAATGGCAAGAATAGCCTCGCCTGCAATTTCTGCGGTTTCCAGGCGATTCGTACTATCGTTCGGAGACGCTTCTTCGCGGCCGATAAAAACTTGACTGTTTACTCGGGCGCCGGGAGTTTACGCGCTAGATAATGTCTCCGAGCGTTCACCTGACATTACGATAAAACTTAAGCGAGCGTAACTTTTACGGCGTTTCAGTGACACACGGAAATGGACAACGGGAGCAGCGAGAGAAAGAGAGAGAGAAAAAAAGAGAGAGAGGGAGAGGGTGAGTGAGAGACAAAGAGAGCAAGAGAGAGCGGGAGAGAGAGCGAGATAGCGAGAAAAAGAGCAAGACAGAACGAGAGAGAGCAAGAGAGAGCAACAGAGAGCAACAGAGAGCAAGTGAGAGCGAGAGAGAGCAAGAGAGAGCAACAGAGAGCAACGGAGAGGAAGTGAGAGCGAGAGAGAGCGAGAGAGAGTGAGAGAGAGCGAGAGAGAACGAGTGAGAGCGAGAGAGCGAGAGAGAGAGAGAGAGAGAAAAAGAGAGAGCGAGAGAGCGAGAGAGAGAGAGAGAGAGAAAAAGAGAGAGCGAGAGAGCGAGAGAGAGAGAGAGAGAGAAAAAGAGAGAGCGAGAGAGCGAGAGAGAGAGAGAGAGAGAAAAAGAGAGAGCGAGAGAGCGAGAGAGAGAGAGAGAGAGAAAAAGAGAGAGCGAGAGAGCGAGAGAGAGCAAGAGAGAGCAACAGAGAGCAACAGAGAGGAAGTGAGAGCGAGAGAGAGCGAGAGAGAGTGAGAGAGAGCGATAGAGAACGAGTGAGATCGAGAGAGTGAGAGAGAGCAAGAGAGAGCGATAGAGAATAAGTGAGAGCGAGAGAGCGAGAGAGAGAGAGAGAGAGCGAGAGAGAGCGAGAGAGAGCGAGAGAGAGCGAGAGAGAGCGAGAGAGAGCGAGAGAGAGCGAGAGAGAGC